CCTTCAGTATTGCAACCACTTGCTGGGACAGAGACCAGCGAACACCTTCAGTATTGCAACCACTTGCTGGGTCAGAGACCAGCGAACACCTTCAGTATTGCAACCACTTGCTGGGACGTTTCAAATGATCTTTGGTCAATACCAGGAGCCTTGTTTTTCACTAATGTTTCAGTGCAGCTGGACCTTTCCCTTCTCCCTTCTCCCTTCAATCCCACTTGCTCTTGATCATGGGCTACCTCCTGAAATCATTGCACATTGATCAATACTTCGCGGTATGACTCCCAACTTTTGGATGTTTCTTGCATTGTCTGATATTTTGCCCGTGACAAGGTTTTGATAGGTGCTGCTGAGCCAGGCCTGACCCATCGCCACCCTGTGTACAACAGAACAAAACACTGCCCGGTCCTGTGCCACCCTTACAAAGGCCAACTGTACTCTGAGGAGAGAGCTCTGCCCAGCAGTGTTTTAAGTGCCCTCCAACCTGAGGGCTCCTAGATTGTCCCTCTGCCAGACCATGTTCTGCGGCTGCTCATAAGGCTTTCCCTCCGCTACGCATCACCATCTCTTCGTTCTAGTAGTTCTTAGTCTGGAAGCTCCGCTGTTCACGGTGGGTGACCCTGCTGGTATTTACAAGACCAGTTTGCAGCATCATAGCACCACACAAACCACCCCCGGACTCGGCACACTGACACGTGAATGTCAGCCTTAGAATCCATCAATCCTGCCGCTGGCGGTTTGAGTTTTTCCTTTAGTTCTTTCAGCTTGAGATGGGCTGAGCAGGTGGTTTTCTTTTCGGTCTTCTAACTCCAGGCCTTGTCCTCTGTCTCCTGGGGCTGCCCATTGACGTCTTCTGTTCAGCTCTTTCACGTCTTCATTTTTTCCTTTCCGTTTAGCCATCCAAGGTACTCGAGCAAATTCCAGAGACTCTTGTGCTATCTCTTTGGTCTTTCCTTTCTTCCCTTATCTTTTTAGTGATCGTTCGCTTTGTTCGTGTAGGATGTTCTTGATTTCTGTATCTTGGCTCTTGCTCTTGCATGCTTGTTTTTGCTTTGTTCAGATTCAACATTCATAGGGGTTTGATGCCTTTTAAAGTACCATGGCTTGAGTCAGGCACATCTTTGCTTTTACAACACTTTTCAGAGGCATTGGCAGCAGATCTGCCCCATGTAATAACATGGCTTGATGTCTTGATGCTGTAGCCATGGGGTTTTGATGGTGAGTCCAAGTAAAAGGAAATTCTTGACACCATTTTTTCCCATTTATAATGTTATATTTAATGGTCTGGGTGTGAGAATTTTTGTTACATTACATAACAGGGAATTACAATGTGATACTGTGTTAGTCTGGGTAGACTAAAGAATCAAAGTTTATAGACACTCGTGTGTGTGTATAAGAAAGAGCTTTATATACAAGAGCAGTTGAATATTGAGAAAACATCCCAGCCCAGACTAGATCAAGTCCATAAGTCCAATATTAGCCCATATGTCCAATACCAATCTATAAAGTCCTCTTCAGACTCACAAAACACATGCAATGACACCAAATGCAGAAAGATCACAGGCCAGTGGGTGCAAAGTCTTGTGGATCCAGTGGTGGTAGAAGCATCTTAGCACTGGCAGGGATCTCCACGTGGCTCTTCCAGTTCCCAGGGTACCTGGTCTATCAGCTTAGTGCCAACTGTCTTGTCACTACAGCATCTCTCAGAGAGAGTGTCTTCTGCCTCCAAGGAGGAAATGCAAGAATACCCAGAAGCCTCAGAGGAAGGCCATGCCCACACAAAGGCCTCATTGGCTATTTGCGTGCTTGTTTTTGACAGACTAGACTCTACCCCTTCACTCATAATCCTCTCAGATTGACAACAGATTAATTAACTACCACAGATACATAACCAAATAAGCTCAGACAAGATCATTGCCATCAAATAGATTCTGACTCATAGCAACCCTAAACATAGCTAACTCACTGATCTTGAGTGGAAACCTACTCATAGAGGCCCTATAGGGCGAGGTAGAATTGCTCTTTGGGGTTTCCAAGCCCCCAGCTCTCCTCCTCAGAGTGGCTGGTACTTTTGATCTCCTGGTCGTGCTATGAGCAGCCCAACTACAGTGCCAGGGCCCCTGTCTATGTCACAGCACCTCTTAAATACATCCGAGAGCAAGTTTGCGGCTGTCTCTGGGCCCGTCCATGCCTCTAAGAATGTGATCTTCGTGTTTGGATAGATGGTCTTTTATTATCATTATTGTTTTCTTTTATTGGGGGCTCGTACAACTCTTATCACAATCCATACATCCTGGATAGATGGTCTAATCCCGAGATAAATAACAATTTGCAGGGATAGCCAAGGCCCTGGTCAACCAGCAGATGCCTTCCCTCGAGGGTGGACACGTCACAGAGACACTGTGGGCATCACACGTGGGACTTTCTCTAATAGAAAGGCATACAAGAGGTTCAGCTAAGACAGCTACTCTTGAGGAGGCTTAACCCTTCCCCCCCAGGATCAGCTTGATCAGGGGAGCTTCTGCCCACGTGGTATCAACTAAATGGCTTTTGGGAGCCCTCTAGAGGCTGGAAGGGATGAGACGATGAAATGACAGTCCTTGCCTGCTTGGTTCCAGGTTCCTGGGGGATCCCGAAGCCCTCTGGGAGCAAGGACCACATCGAGTTTCCTGCCTTTCCACCTGCCCGCCCACCCACTCACCCCGTAGCTTTCTTTCACTGATGCCTCAAGGTCTCGTTGCAGCTCACATCCACCCCGCCTGCCTCCCCATGCATGGACAGACCTTCAGCCTCAATGAGACCTGCTGGATCACAGGCTTTGGCAAGACCAAGGAGACTGACGGTGAGCAAGCACATGCCAGTGTATGTATGGAGTGGGGGGGGGGGGGCGGGGTATTGGGGCATGTAGATGAGGGTCTTGGGATATAAGTTCATGGCATAGATAGGTATAGCCACGTACCTACGTATATGGCAAGACAGTTGGTGTGACTTTGGGCCCCGGGGCAAGACCCCCAGGAAAGCACATGCAGTTGAACCAGTTGGTTGTCTCGCTCTTTGCTGGGGACATGAGGACTGCCACGGAGCACCCAGACCGCTCAGAAGAGGGGGTTGGGAGGGACTTCACACAGGAGCTGGGGGAGGTGGGAGTCAAAAGGGAAGTTCTTGTTTCTGGGTTAGATTCTGCCAGGAAGCAAAGGTGGCTGTGACCAGGCATCTCATCGTCTTCACCAGAGGAAGGAAAGAACAGATAGACAGGCGACAGCTGGAATTGATACAGGAGGAGCAGTCCCTTATATTGGCCTAGAGACAGGGGCTCATGGATCTTTCTGTGGTTGGCACAGTGCTTTGGGGTTTTTGTCTGTGCTTAAACAGGATTCAGCTCCTTCCTGTTTTAGTGTAGGATTTGTTGTTTTTTCTTTCTTGCCTCACTTCAACATGGTCACAACGTCCTTGTCGTGTGTCCGTGTTTGGGGAGGTCAGCACATTGTTACCAATCAGGTAAATGAGGCACCATCAACGCGTCCACGCTTACAGTGGGACGAGACCGATGGAGCACGCGTACCAAAATAATATGTGGGGGAGAGGGCAGCTGCGCGGTTAGCAAGAAATGCCTAAGACGGTGTTAATCTGCACACGCACACACAGAAACCAAATCACTGCCATCTATTCTAATTCAGTGACCCTACAGAGCAGGGCAGCACTGGTCCTGTGGGTTTCCAAGGCTGTAACTGTTTACAGGTGTAGACAGCCTCGTCTTTCCCTCGAGAAGCAGTTGGTGGTTTCCAACGACTGACCTTGCAGTCAGTTAACAGCCCAACATGTAACTACTACGTCATGGTAGGACTTGCTTTGCACAGAAGTTTGGTCTTTCTGGTCAGCAGGGGTCACCGTGGCCTGGCTGCTGCCTGGCAGCGTCAGGCCTGCTCTGGGAGTTGGGGCCAGTTTTCTCTGGGTCAGAGCGATGGGGGCTCCTTGGGAGGAGCGCCGGTTCTGATCCTGGCTCCACAGCTGACTGCTTCTGATTATGGGCAAGTCACTGCCACAGCCTTAAGTTTTCCCATCTGTAAGTAGGTTAATCACAGCTGCCCTTATTAGAATACGTAGTTACCCAAAAAGACATCAATGGGTACATGGGATGCTGCTTTGAACATAGAAAAGCATTGTGCAAAGTGTTAGTGTGTGTGTGTGTGTGTTTGTGTTGAAACTGCAGTGTACAAGGAGTTTTGAAAAAGGTGTAGAAAACTCTAGTAGCTTTCCATTCCTTAAGCAGCTATTCTATGTGTAGTGAGTGTGTGTTTTGTGGGAGAAGGTGTGTGCTCCTATGGTCTGAGGACCCTCAGAAGACAGACTGCACGTGGGCCAGAGACCAGGCACGGGCATGGGCCCTGAGTTCGGGTCCTGTGTTGGTCAGTTAGGAGGCCACGAAGCCTCCTGGGCGCTCACTGCATCCTTTCCTTCCTTCCCTCCTCTCCACCGAAGACAAGACATCCCCTTTCCTCCGGGAGGTGCAGGTCAGCCTCATCGACTTCAAGAAGTGCAATGACTATCTGGTCTATGACAGTTATCTTACGCCACGGATGATGTGTGCCGGGGACCTTCGGGGGGGCCGAGACTCCTGCCAGGTAGGCTGCTTCTCGATGGGGCCAGGGTCTCCGGTCCCTGAGGAATAGGGGAGCCTGGGACGTTGGGTTGGAAGGAGAATCTGGTGCCCGACCATTTCCTTCGCAAGACCCCACCCCTACCCCCACCCCGCCTGCAGTTGATGCTCCCCTGCTCCTCTCCAGGGAGACAGTGGGGGGCCTCTCGTCTGTGAGCAGAACAACCGCTGGTACCTGGCAGGGGTCACCAGCTGGGGCACCGGCTGTGGCCAGAGGAATAAGCCTGGTGTGTACACCAAAGTGACAGAGGTCCTCCCCTGGATCTACAGCAAAATGGAGGTGAGAGGCCGGCAGGGGGCACCCTGCAGTGAGCTGGCTGGTAGCTATCCGAGTTGGGGGGTCTGCAAGAGGGCTGTGGGCAGGTCTCTCAGGGCCTTTGGCAGAGGTGCCCTATCAGGGGGTTCAAAAGGTGAAGACAGGAAGCCAGACGCAGAGCCTCTTGCCGGTCACCGCAGCCTGTTGCTCTTTCCCTCTTTCCTTTCTTCTGATCAGAGTGCCAAGGATGGTTGGGAAAACAGTGGCTGGGGCCTCCTGGCAAGCCCTGTACCTCCTCTCCTCTCCTCTCCTCTCC